CCCAAGAAACACCGCCAAGAACCCAAAACAAAATGAAAAAGAGAACAAACACAAATTGAACATTACACGTATGATAGGCACGTAGACAATATATTACGTAACTTACGCACTTAAAAATAGAAAAGAATTCAAAGGCTCGAGTTGATTCATATCCTTGACCACATATAGAGGATCGTCAACTCTCTATAAGGCCCGGAGTCAAAGATTCAAAGGCCTTTTGGATCACTTTGAATCCCCACTCACCTCAAACGCTCAAACAATGATTCCAAAAGATGAAAAAGTTTATAAAAGAGCGAATCTTTCTTTCATTCTAACTCCCATGCACAAAGTATTCATGAAGAACATTTGATACACATTAATAAACTTTAACGTCTAATGATGAAAATATTTTGCAGGTCTCCTTGAACAACTCAAGCATAAGAATTGTAATCTATTCACATAAAAGAACATTACATATTTTCATTAAATCAAGAGTTTTTTATTGCGCTTAAACAATCCCAATTTTTATGAAAATAACAAACAAAAAAACCAAGACATAAACAATCACTTTATAACGAATCTTAAGAAAAAAGGTCGACTTATGTGGCTAAGAAGATCATTTACCTTAAAATTTTACAAAACACAAGTCACAAAAAAGATTCACGTATGAATTCGAGAATCATTTAACTAAAATATGTAGCTAAATTAGTTTCAATGATAACCGAATTCGACATACCAACCTACTTATGAATTCAAATTTACAATTCAACCAATTTAACATCAATTTGCGCAAAAATTGAAGAAACTAGTAAGAATCAATTTTCATTCATAAGGGATTTAATATAACATTAAAAAACCCATAAAAGAACACCAATCATTTTGGAATTTTTGAAATTCACACAAGGAAAAAAAAGTGTAAATTTGAATTGAAACAACACTTTTACAAAGAAATTGGAGAAAAAAAATTTTGACAAATATAGAGTTACCAATTGATGAAGAAGAAGATGAAATTGAAGAAATTGGAGCTTGAAGAAGACTGCCCACCCTCGACCACAGCCGTCGCCGGAGCTACTGCCGCCGCTGCCATCGTCGAACGTCGGCCACCATAGCAGCGGCCAAGCCGCTGCTTTATTCCCGTCGATGTTCCCCCCGTGTTGATAGTGGTAGCCACTCCAATTTATAGAGCAAGCATTCTTCCGTTGATATCTTCCCGTTGGCGATTAATTGTTGCGAATTTTACGGAGGAACGTTGGAGCGTTGAAGAAATTGGTTCGATTCTCTCTGCGGTGAAGCGGTGAAGAAGAAGTCGCGTACTTCTCTTCTTTTCTCTTTCTTGTGCGAATCAGGAAAGTAAGGGATGCAATGGGCTGGTTAACTTGTTTATTTGATGATGGGTTTGGGCTCTAGCCCAAATTCAATATCTTCTTTCCAAACTTGAACTGCACTTTGGTCTTTTGTTAAATTTTTCTCCAAAAAATAAGATATCTGATAATTTGGGTTAGGAAAAACAAAATAAAAATAAAAGAATGTAAAAAATGATTAAAAAAACTACTATTTATGAAAGAAAAATAAAAGATTGTAAAAATGAGAATTAAAATAAAACTAAACTAAGGAACTAAAAATTAAACACTAAAAATATTAAAAATGCCTAAAAAAGAATAAAAAACTAACCCAAAAACGACTTATCAGAGAGAGTATGTATATTTACACATAAAGAGACGTAAACAAGTGAATAATCTCACAAATTAAAAAAAAATCCAAGAGGAAAGATATACTCCCTCCGTCCCACTGTTTTTGTCCACTTACCTTTTGGCACACCATCCAATGCACTTCTTTAATCAATTTTATCTTGTAATTTGTATATTAAAAAATTATACTCTCTCTGTCCACCATAGATCTTTCCGGACACTATTCACAAGGTCAAACTTAATTCACTTTGTTTGCTTATTTTTACTACTCATTTTACAAAATAATATAGTGTTGTCACCTCTAATTTTGTAGAACTTTTCATGTAGTTTATTACTTCCTCCGTCCCCCTAAGATGTTCTCATTTTGACTTTTGGTGGTTTTTAAGGAGAGTTGAAAAAAGGTGAAAGTTTACCACAATACCCTTAATGAAAAATGGGTGGAGTGTATTAAATGAGGTAGGTGAGGTGTAATAAATAAAGTAAGTGTGGGTAGTTGTGTTATTTTAATTGTTAAAAAATGAAATGAGAAGATCTATTGTGGACAAAGAAAAAGGGCTATTGGAAAGATCTATAGGGGACGGAGTGAGTACTAGATAAATTTTACATTAAAATTTTACCCTTATACTCAAATATATCGAATTGAAAATAAAGTCGGTCAAGTCTTATAACGCGCAATGGGAAGATCTTAGGTGGACGGAGGGAGTACAAATTATATATTAAATATTAATAATCTATATGTTAAGACGAATCAAACAAGATCACACATGACTATTTTTAGGCTTATACATTAAGAGAATTTGATGAGTGAAAGTGTTTAAATGAACAGTTACAAAAGTCAAAAGTGGACAAAGACAATGGGACCGAGGTAGTATATACAGAGGACGGACTAATAAAGAGTTGAGGTGGTACGTACGGTGCAGGCAACTGCAAGCTGCCACCGCGCACATACGTACCCCCCGGGCCAGGCCATTAAAGAGTTAATTAAAACGATCGACGGGCGGCGTACGCAGAAGAGGTCGGACCCTGCCGCCGCCAGCTGTAAACATGCCGTCGCCGGCCACCGTCCTCCTCCTTATTACTATCGATCTTCTTCTTCTTCTTCTTTTTGTAGAGAGAGCAGAATTGGCAAATGGCGGCGGCGGCGGAGGATCAGTGGTAGTGGGGAAGGTGGTGGAGTGCGATTACTTTGAGGGGAGTTGGGTTGAGGACCGGATTGGCTATCCTCTCTACAATTCATCCATGTGCTCCTTCATCGAGCATGAATTCAACTGCCTCAGAAATGGCCGCCCCGACCACTCTTATCTTGGCTATAGATGGCAGCCCCGTCACTGTTCCCTCACCAGGTATTTCATTAATTAACATGATTGATGCCTTATTCAAAGTCGAACACTGGACTCTGGAATACACCGGCAACGCATTTTTTGTGTCGGTAGATGCTTATAGTCCATCCGTTTATGTGATAATTTAATTTTTAATATTCACTCTGTTAAATTTTGATAATTCTCTTTATTATTTTATTATATTTTTGAGAGACCCTAAACTTATTAATGTTTTTTTTTTGTACAATTTTTGATATACTGTAGTTTTTTTTATAAGAAGTAATCACATCAACATCGGACAGTTTTTACCTTCAATATCTCCCTCAATATTCGTTCAGTTTGACTTTTTCAAGTCAAATTAGACAAAATTTAATCTTCAATTACTCTCAATTTGTATTGCATATTAATATTATGAAATAAAATTTTGAAAATTCTAAACAAGCTAAATCTAATAAAATCATTTTTGTACTATTATACATTGTAGTTTTTAATTAATTGAGTCCCACATCATCATTATTTTTCTATTTTATAAAACAAATAAATTCTTTTATTAATAAAAAATTAAATAAATTAAATTTAAGGAATTAATAAATTTGTAGTTAAACAAAATTAAATTGAATTTAAAACAAAATTAATGGGAGACGGTTACAAATAAAAACCAAGCTTAAAATTATATTAATATAAATAAAAAGCTTGTTGAATTTGTCAATATTTATTGTATCAAAATAAATACTACCTCCGTTCTAAATTATTTGCCACATTTGCTTTTTCAACAGTCGCGAGAACTTTTGTTTATTTCTTCAATTTCATTGGTTTTTGATAAAATAAAATATTTTTGACACCTCTTATTTCGAAGAACTTTTCATGTAGTTTTTTGATATGTAATTTTTATTTTTTATTTTTTTACTATGTAAATAAAATGAATTGAAAAAACTTAATATTTTACCTCGGTAATAGAAATGTGACAAATAATTTGGAACGGAGGGAGTAAGTACAAAGGAACCGAGGCGGTTACAAATAAAAACCAACCATAATTGATTACCACTACGCACAATGTTTTATATCTTTTAAATTTATTTTATCTATGAATTGGTATGAAATTGAAATAAAAAAATTTAATTAGTTTACGTACGAAGCATTAAAAAGCTATGTAAAAAAATTCTACAAAACAACACGTGAAAAATGTTTTATACTATTAAAATAATTAATAAAAAGAGAAAGGTAAGCAAAAGTTTTCAAAAAACTAAAATATTCCATCCGTTCCATAAAACCTTTCCTCTTTCGTTTTTTTTTCTAATTCCTTAAACCACGTCTATTTTCTATTAAAAAACCATTTTTACCTCTACTTTTTCATAGCATACCTATCACATCATACTTTTTCACTAATAACCAAACTATTGCATCTTACTTTTACGCATCACATCAGGAGCAAAATTGGAAAGTCAATCAAAATTACACTTTTTTATTTTGGCCTAAAGTCAAAATAAGAATGGTTTTAAAGAACAGAGGGAGTAATACGGATTGTCGCATGGGCGGATCCACAGCTATAGCATGGGGGGCATATATGCCCCCACTGAAATGTTATCAACCAAAATAATTTGCAAAAGAAATAAAAAAAACTTGGGTAGAATTTGGTTTGTGCCCCCGTGCAAATAAGATATGCCCCCAATAGATTAATTTTAAAAATATAAGTAGTTCAATCTTTAAGAATAAGCCCAAAATTTAGAATATCTATATATTTTCTAATTTCTTTTTCCAATTCTTGATTCAGTAGCAAATTAGCCATGCGACAATTCTGCAAAACAAATTTAATCTTCTTTATCACTTTCAATTTCTTTATTAATTTGTCTAATACTAACATGTCCATCGCAATCCTTCACTTCTGTGAAAAAGCCTTGCGTCATCCGACCCAATTATAATCTCCACTTAAGAAAATTCTTTTGATACTTTTAATTAATTTAATCATTATGTATTAAGTAAAGTTTTTGTGACATGTTTATAAATTTATTTATTCATGTGAATTGTTGATTTGATTGTGTATTATTTTCTAAAATAGTGTATCAATGTGGAATGAAATTGTTTTGTGTGGAAAAAGAGAAAAAGTAATGCTCTTATACATATTAGAATGCTTCTTTGGTATTCTTTGGTATATTTGGGGTACATATATATTATTTTTGTGGATGTTCTCACATTATTTTTTTAAGTGTTTTATTTAAAAAAACAAATGATTATCTAAGTACTCCCTACATCATAAAATTAACTTTCTAATTTGACTTTTATAATCAAACTGTTTGAACTTTGACCATATATCATCGAAAAATTCATTAAAACTTCATATAAATTTAATATCAATAAATTTATTTTAAAACATTTTTTTGAAATATTTTATTCTTATAATATATATCTATTATATATAAATAAAGATATTAATAGTCAAAGTGTTATATTGAAAACCAAAAAAAATCAAATATGATGTTAATTTTAGCATACTTTTTTTGTCATTTAAATTGCATTTAAAAAATTCATAGGCGCTCATCCTAAATCCCCAGTGTAAATCTTTCAACTACAAAATGTTTTGATCACAATGAGACCGACTCGACTAAGTATTCAAATCTTGACCTTGTCCCTTAGTCTCTTGGTCTTGTTTCATGCCTTTCTTCACGCCTTGTATTCTACGTAACTCTTCATATCTATGACGGTTTGGCAATTATCAAAACCTGTCAAAAACGAACACGACTTTAGTTCAACATAATATAAAGTGTGTTCCAACAAAAATAAGAACTTTAAGGGACAGCAAGAGCAACATTATATAACAATCAAGCATCGGAACCATCATCCTCCCCCATCATGCACAAAAATTCCATATTCACTATATTGTTCATCCATTTCATCATTAACCTCATTACCATCTAGCACAGGAGGCTGGCAGAGGTTGTAGAATTCTATATGAGCCAAGAGATGCAGAGCTTTGTGGTGCAATATCTTTGAATCAGTTAAAAACCAAGCCTTTATATTATTTTGAATTTCTTTAAATGATTAAGTTTGGTGATAGTGAGGCACGCCTCAATTGTTCCCCGCCACATTCTCATAAGGCAGTGAGAGTTGTGGCTAGGCATGAGGGTCACTCACATAGTTTGAGGATATTTAATGGTGCATCACTGCAGAATTCAGTCATCTTCTATAAGTCTATAAGTGCATAAAAATATATAAAATCACAGGATTGATAGAAGATATTCATAAACAACAACTTGCTGGACTGCTTGACCACCCAAAAAAGCATATATATACAATATAATGTACTTACAAGTATAGATTTTTCTAGATTTTCACGTACTCTGTTTTATAAGTATAGATTTTTCTAGCTTTTTGATGATTGAGGAACGAAGAGGTAAATGCGGGAGGTAGATCGAGAACAGGAACTAGCTGATGGATTTCAGCGATGATGTAGAATTAGGCTAATGGTTGTCGGTTAATTAGGCTCCCTGTGTTGAAAAAAATAATTTCCACCTAAAATGATTTGATGTGCAGGAAACAAAAAAAATTGCGGTAAGGAGAATTTTGGGTTAATAGATGAACTTTAATTTTTGTAGTATTAATTTTTTTAATGTTTTGCCACACTTGAATTGATGTGTCACACAAAAAGTCCTTACCAACACTTGGTAAAAGTGGTGATTAGTCAATGTAGAATAACTGCACTTATAAATATGGAGAAAAAAGGAACTAATTTTTTACCACACTTAGTCATGTGCGACAAATTAAATGTGGGGAAAAGCCCTTTTTCTTGTAGTGACAACTGCTAGTCTCTACATTGCCGCTAGCTCCTAGCTCAACGTAGATCTGGAAGAAGGAGAGGAGACAAAGGTAGTAGGGATGAAGATGAAGAAGATGCGGAGGGTGATTGATGCACAAATTTGTTTAGATCTTGAATCTCAGAAAGAGGAAGGCGAAGAAGAAAAAAGAAGAAGGGGGACAAATCAGCGACGGGAAAGAGAAGGCGAAGAAAAATAAGAAAGAAGAGAAATGGAGTGTTTAGATGGAGGAATAACATAAGAGACAAATAAGAAAAATGAAGAGAAGAGAAAAGAGTGGTCCGAACTAAAAAAGAAGGAAAGAAGAAAAAAAGAAAGGAAGAAGAGAATTAAATAGAAATGAAGAGGAGGGTATTTTGGAAGAGTTAGAAAAAAAGGTAGAATAGGATGATTAATTCTGAACTAAAAAAGGTAGAATGGGAATATTATTTGCGACGGAGGAAGCATTTCGTGATTTGAATATTGTATTCTCTTATTTTTAATTTTTTAATTGTTAGAATCCTTTTTTATTGTTTTTAAAATTATTCCTCTATTTTTATTAATAAATAATATTTGTATTAAATTTATTATCTTTTTCAATTAAAAATGATGAATAATGTAAAATAAATGAAGAGGTGGGGCGAGAGGGCAATAACATTGTATGTTTTTCGGGACAAAGCTGAAAATTAGTGAAATGCTGATGAGGTAGGCAATGCGACAGGACGAGATTCTGATCCATTCTTATGCTAGTTTAAACAAAAATGAGAGATGGCCACTCTAACCTTAAGATCTTGCCACTTTTCTTATATATTTGGATTATTCGAAAAACTAATTCGTGAGCAATCCCACTTCTCTACCAATATTGTCATCCACATAACCTCTTCTCCCATTTTCACTATTATAATTTATCACCCCTCAAAGATAGAGTTTCATCTCATTACCTCATTGTATTTTGTGAAGGGTACACCAAAATGTATACACTACTTGTACATCAACTATATGATTGGCACATATGTATAATTATTGTCTGTATAGACAATTATTGCCTGCGTGCGCCTTTGATACACTTCGTTTACAAGTTGTGTACAATTTTTGGTGTACACCAAACTTAATTATTACCTCATTAGTTGGTTCAATTATTTGAACAAGTTATTGAACCTATTTGGGGGAGGGATAAACTAATTGGGAGCATGATTATATAAATAATAAGTTAATGTAATGAGTAATGTCAAAAGCTCTAGATAGATAATATTTTTTGCTACTAAATAATAATGCAGTTTGGATAACCCAATTCATAAGTACTACAAAGAGGAGATGGATAGTGAGAAATATCCATGATCTAAGCAATTTGACTAATGAAATTTGAAACAAAAAAAATGATTTGCTTGTTCCATCAAACCAAGTGTTAAATCTAATTTGCATGCTGTAGATTTAATGGGCGAGATTTCCTGGAGAAGTTTAGAGGGAAAAGCATTATGTTTGTGGGTGATTCTTTGAGTCGAAATCAATGGCAGTCACTGACCTGCCTCCTCTACACTTCTCTAACACCACCTATGTCCAGTTACAACCAAACCAGGGTTGGTGATGTCTCCACATTCACGTTCAAGGTAATGATGATAGACATTGAGCTTTTTAGAAAAAACTTAATTACCTACATTTATACACACACACACACAAACAAACAAACAAACAAACATACATACATACATACATACATACATACATACATACATATATATATATATATATATTATAAATATTTTGTCGTAGACAATATGTATAAATATTTATTAAATATTTTACTTTACTCCATAACAATATTCTACACCATCAAATGTTCTATGTGTGTGACCCTCTTCTAGGTAACCCATAATGTAACGTTGGTCATAGTATTAAAATACTACAAGTAACAAGCGGTATTTAGCAACAAATTGTCACCCCCAAGTTATAGATATGAAGCTCTTAGAAAAATTGCTTCAACGATACATTACATTTAATAACTCTTATCTCTTTATCACTAATATTTTGATTTAACACAAGACATGGGATGTGCTACCTTGTTAAAGTTAAATCAAAGGTTTACTCATTATTTTTATTGGCTTGTGGGATTTAGATAACATTAATATCATGTATGTTAATTTATCTAGTTATGGCCATACACTTCCCAAGTCACATTAATCATTGGGCCCATAGATATTATACTTCCATAAAGGAAGGAATAAATTCTATCAACATCATTCACATTCTTGTTTAAGTTTTACTACATGCCCAACACATAATTATACGTACACTAATATTTCAAATGGCATTAGTTGTATATCAAAATATGTAGCTATACTCACCAAGAATCGTAATGACTTCAAGTCCATAGATAGTTACATAAATGGTCGTATGAAAATACTATAAACACATTTCAAGGTATACCCATATAATATTATAATGGCGGGTCAATCCAGCAATCTATCCAATATATTTGCCTACACATAGATTCAAATAACGCCTTATCTATATCCTATGACATGCAGCTATCTCATCTCAATGAGGATTCCATTTAGGAAAGTTGTTTTTACGTCCATCTGCCAAATCTCATAATCATGATATGCAGCGACAAGTAGTATCCTAATGGATTTTATCATCACGACTGGAGAAAAGGTTTTATCATAGTCAATACCATGTATTTGTCTGTAACCTTTTACTACTAATCGTTTTTTGAAGGTCCGTACCTTCCCATCCATGTCAGTCTTCTTTTTGAACACCCACTTGCACCCAATTGGTTTGACTCCAGTGGGTGCATCAACCAAAGTCCATGGTTTTTGTACATGGAATCCATTTCAGATTTCATGGCTTGACACCATTCCTCAGCCTCTGGGCCACTTATGGCCTCAAGGTAGGTCTCGGGTTCGTTGTTCTCGATTAGTAACACGTCTCCTTCACAATTTAGGAGAAACCCATACCTCTTGGGTGGATTTCGTGTTCTCATGGACCTTTGGAAGACTTGTGTTTCTTGGGAGGGTTGAGGGACAACGATTTGTTCCTCTTGCTGTGTCGCTTCGTCTGGTTGGTGATCTTCTTCATTATCTCGAATTTGTTCGAGATCTTTCTTCCATCAATTGTTTTGGATAGAAATCCCTTTTCTAGAAAGGTTCCATTTCGTGCAACAAAAACTTTATTGTCATTTGGATGATAAAAATAATATCCACGAGTTTCTTTCTGATATTCAACGAAGACACATTTGTCGGATTTGGCGTCAAGTTTGCTTGACGTCAACAGACGTTTGACATATGTTTCACAGCCCCAAATCTTCATGTGAGATAACCTCGTGCAATGGCGTGTCCGTATTTCTCATGGCGTTCCTTTTACTGCTTTAGTTAGAACTCTATTTAGAGTGTATATCGCTCTGCCTAACGCCTATCCCCAAAACGAGTCTAGGAGTGTTGCATGACTCATTGTGGATCAAACCATGTCCAACAGTGTTCGATTTCTCCTTTCGGATACGCCATTCCACTATGGCGTTCCAGGAGGAGTGAGTTCATAAACAATCCCATGCTCTTTCAGATAGTCATCGAACTCATGGCTTAAGTATTCTCCTCCACGATCAGATCGCAAAGTTTTGATGTTTTTTCCCAGTTGCTTTTCTACTTCATTTCAAAATTCTCTAAACATTTCAAATGATTCCGTTTTTTATCAAAAACACATAACCATATCTATAAGGTTGTCAGTAAAGGTAATAAAATATGAGAAACCTCCTCGGGCTGTTATATTGAAAGGCCCACATACATCAGTATGTATGAGTGCAAGAAGGTCACTAGCCCTTTCACCTTAATTGGTAAATGAAGTCTTTGTCATCTTGCCTAATAAATAAGATTCGCACGTACTATATGATTCAAAATCAAATGCCTCCAATACACGAGTTTTGTGTAATTTGGATATGCGTTTCTTATTAATGTGGCCTAACCTAGAGTGCCATAGCTACGTTAGATTCACGTCATTTGTTTTGGATCTTTTAGTTGAACTAAATTCTAACCCGTGCGATGCTCGACAAAAAAATTATCTAACGATAAACGTAATGAAACAAATAAATAGGTAATAACTAGAAATAAGCTGATAAGTCACTAAAATTCAAATTTATTTAAATTATGGATATAATGTATATAGTATATTTCACCAATCAAAGCAAAAGTTATCTCACAATATGCTTTGGTCTTTACAAATCAATATCTTCAACATCTCAACTCTCAAAGTATTGTCGATTTGTCACTTATGAAACAATAATGTATAATTGACCGAATTTCTCACTAATGCTATACCCAATATTTAAAGTTTATTTTTATGAACTACACTATTGTCATAAAGAACTTCCAAAATGAACACATTGAAAAACAACACTTTATGAAGACTAAAATAATTTATTGGCCATCATGAAGTGTACTTTGATTTGCATTGTGTATACATTGTGCCAAAAACATAACGTGAATGAAGATCATGTTCGATATCACAACGTATACATCAACAGGGCCCAATATCTACGCAAAATATTACAATGAAATGCATAAATATTAATACCCAACGACTAAACTCACATCATTATAGAGTTGTTTCTTAATTGTTCTAATTAAAGGACTCATTATTTCTACTTATGATCTACGGAGTAGAAGAATAATTAGAATAAGCAATCTAATTACTTTTTGACATACTCATTCAACTACAATGGATGTGACAGAATCCTTCCCTTTCAAAAAGATTCAGCAAGCTAAAAAAATCTATCCAAACAGGCTCTTACACTATAAAGGTAGCTATACCTTCAAATTATAAATATCCACACAGACCACCAGCTTTAGTATAATCATTCCCCATCATTCATGTTTACCTAGTGAAAGACTACTTACTACACAAAGAAACATAATTATTTCCATTAGTATCCAGAAAGATAGACCTTCATCACAGGCAAAATAAGTTTGAAATCTAACATGATCATTTAAAACATCTTGCCACACTGTCCTTGAAACTTTTGGATCAGAAGTGTTAATAATCTCTACATTTGAGGTAGTGATCTAGCTGGAAACATCGTCTGAATTTAATCCTTCTTGCCACCTTAAAAAAGACACATTTGAATCAAAATATGTGCACACACCAAAAGCAATCCACCCCAAACAAAAATTGCATCATGGCAGAAAAAGACAATAAACACACTACATAGTACTCTATACTAATTAAGCACTCGCTCTCAATAGATTTGAAATCATATAAAGGCCCTCATTTTTGTGCAAAAGAGGAGCTAAACATATGCAATAAAAATAATAAATCATAACTTCATAATTGAAACTCAGAGAATAGTAAGAGGTAACTTAAGTTTAAGCTTAGTGTAAATGTAAATAAGTCCAACTTTGACTAATAAATTCATAATAAATCAATGATGTAGGTTGCAACATGAATCCCCCCTTGCAGGTAGCACACAATTCTCATCATCATTCTCCAAAACATTATCCACTTTAAAGGAATTCACCCTTTATAGTAACCCTCAAACAGGAAAAATAACTAAAGAGAAGAGCATAACAACACACCATTTAAAATGAAAATAAAAAATTAAAACCTATATGTACTTCTTCCCATTAGAAAAATACCAAGGTATAGTCGAGGAAACCACTTCAAATGAAGTAATTGTAAATAAATAAAATTGGATGCTTAAATAATATGCAAATGATCAAATAACATGCACTTGTAAAAAATACTTAAATAAAATCTAAAAATAAAATGATTGGCATACATTTTCCAAAAGATGCATTTTACGGCACAACTAGAGTTGAATTTGCACCACATTCTCAACAAAACCTTAAACAATGAATAGCCACTTTGGAGTTAAATTTCCACCACTATGGTACTTAATGTCTGCCATTTGTTAATCTGGCCAAGGCCCACATTGTTGTCCCCACTGCTGGGTGTGATTCCAAGAGCCAAACGAGAATGAATATCACACAGAAGAGTCAAGACCAGGCTCCCTAATGGAATATTTAACCGATCCATTCTGGATTGACCGAATTGGTACGGAAGTTGTAACATGGGAAAACCACGGAAAACACAACTTATTTAAATAACCCAGTGACCTACCAATTGTAGAAGTAGGATCTTTGGCAAGAAATAAGCACTTAAATAATACAATTCAACCATTTGCCCATCTTCCACTTGATGTCAAGTTGTTGTCCCTGAAAGAGTGAATAGCCTATACTACTGATGTTGGTGCTAGAGGTAAAGAAACATGAAAAAACAGGTCTTGGACTAGGAACAATTTATCAATGTTGCTAGGTACTAAATCCCAATTTCACCCTAGTTGTGAACCATTCGTAATGTCCATAGCATCTTTCATTTGTTATTGTGAACCTTTTGTAATGTTCATAGCATCTTCTACTACAGCAATAAGCCAATAACCACCCTAATTGCACCATTCATAACTTTCATAGCATCTTCCATATCAATCAAAAAACTGATTAGGGTTTAATATAGTAAAGAACACCCTAAAGTTAAATTAGACAATAATTAGCTAATTTCAAATTTGCATACAAACCAAAATCGGAAAATGTTCTTGAGTTGAACTTTATAATTAAATTGATGA